TCGTTTGAATTTAACATGTTCTATGGTCCATACAATGACCTTGTAAGCAAAAACAATCTACATGTATCATTATATCAAATGCTGACTGACGTTTTGCATTCTAATTATTAGGCCATTATTTAAACACTAAATTTTTCCGTTTGCACAATTATGACAAGATGTACACAGCGGGTTTTGAACGGTCGACAGGAGATGCTCACTCCTCTATGGCTCCTGATCCCCGTCTGATGATTTTAGAGGTCTGTGTTTGCTCTGCTCCCGATTTGTATTGTTTCCTTGCACTTTTGAGCTTCATTACTTTTTTATTTCCATATTTCATGTAGTGTGATATTTACGGTGCATTCATCTCTTTACCCACTGTCTCCATTATATATCGTTACATTTCATTTTTCCTTCGCATATATATTTGATAAGCAATTATGACTTATTCGTTTAGTCTTCAACCCCCAAATATATTTTGTTTTTAATAAAATCCAAATATAAAAACTTTTTGAGTCCATTATTTTTTGAATGCTCTTTTCATTTTAAGGAATTCAAATAAATCTTTAAAATATTAAGAAATCCTTAATCTACAAGTCCCGTTATTTATCTTACTGTCACATCATAATGTATCGCATTATTTGTGTTCGACAAGACTGAATATCTTTGTGTAGCCTTAACATTACCGCAAACTCACCTCTTATATTGGACAGAACGTTAGTGAATTAAATATATATGTTAAATCATTTTTAATACTTTAACAAAATCGCTAATTACATCTTTTTGAAATATGTATTTTTTAAAAACCTTTTCCATTTCTTTTTTATTCAACAAAAATCGCCCCTGTAATGAAAAAGAGGAAGATGACGAACAGTTGTTGATCTCAAAAATTTGCTTTAAAAAATTTCCTCAAATTTATGTCCGGAAGAATATAACAGAAACATAAACTTCTTTTTTTTAATGTTTAATCCAATGACGTCATTCAAAATAATGACCTGTTACTTATATCATTCAATAAAGATGATCTATTGTCCCGTTTAATTAAAGGACAATCCCAGGGCAGGTAAACAAAGAAATGGTTTTCTGTCGATTAGAACAGTTTCCATAATACATATTTTTATTGGATTAAAGTACATTTAACATGCCTTATCTTTTGTTATTTGAAATAATGGTAACATTGACTGAAAGCTTATTCAGAGAATAGTCTTCTTACGAGTCCTTTACAGTTCAAAATCTAAGGGTATTATTACTGTTCGGCTATCCCTTTGTTGTTTGATTACTTTCACTCATTTTTACCAGATGTCTTATAGAGAAAAAAAATAGAACAAAGACTATTACATTTATATTCTCCTATTTGTGGAAGTATTTACCATAGGCATATTAAAATCAACATACTCGTAGCTACATACACATTAATTAAGCTTCTGAATTCTACAGCTTTTAAAAGTTCTGAATGAAATATATGGAGATAAAGAACAGTATTCAAGCTCAAAAGTCCATTAAACATTATAAAATAGGAGTATATCAAACACGGACCTCAAAAACATCAGAGGTGGGATCAGGTGCCATGGAGGGGTGAACATCCCCTGACTCATAGATAACCCTTATTTCAAGATTATGTTGATTCATTAGATTTATTGGACTTCTCAATAACTTTGCAATATTGCTATTCAAGCCAATTTACCTTCATATTAATTTTTGTTGAGTCTCGGGAAAATTATAAGAAATACCGGACAATATACAATTATTGACTGTTTTGTTGGTAGACATCACAAATAAATGGGTCCGAGTAGGGTTGTCATCCCAGGGCGCTTGCGTCCGAGAGTGATAACCCTATTCAGACTTGATAATTTGTGATACCCCCTACTAACGGAGTCCATAATAGTTTTATTATCCTGAAGAATCTTAATTTATTAAATAGAGCATTTAAGTTGCACACATAAGGTAGGCCAAATTTTTCCTCAAATTCAGGTTTGTTCAAACTTTGATAATATTCTTCTAGGATGGAAAATCAATATTTATATATGTAATATGATAGAAATTCAACCATACATTTCTTGTCAATATTGTTTGAAATATGGCCTTTCAGACCTCTGTAGGAAGACTTTGAAATCAGACAGCCGACCTGAGATCGTGCATTATTTAAAAATTACCAATTGATCTATTGCAAAATAGTGTGATGCTGTTTATAAAGGCAACTTTTCAGTACTAAAATCTAGTTAATAGCGATTCTCTGTAACCACTTAAACTTCTTTGCCACGCATGGTCACCGATTTTGATGAAACTTTGCCTATTATTACAACTTGACACCAGAAACATATATCAAGTGAAATTTCGTTGCTATGTGTCTTTATTGCCATGGTAACAGCCAGAAAAGTTGGGAAAATTGAGATTTTTAGCTACTTTGAATCTTTATTAGGCCTTAATAAAGACTAAGAAAAAAAAGAAACCATTCTTACAAAAACATGACACCTTGTTGCCACTTATGCTATAAAGAAACTATTTAGAATTTGTCTCTAAGTAAGTGGTAACCATGGGTACATTTGGAATACATTTTAGATGCTGGAAAATGCCGAAAAACGCTCAATATTCACTTATGATAGGTGTTACATGATGAAACTCAATCAACAACCCAAGAAAAACAATAAAAATATTTGACCTTAGATAGTTAGGTATTTGCAAAATTACTCTAAAGATAACTTTCATTGTTGCCATGGTAACAGAGTGTAACCATGCAAAATTTGTTGCTCAGATTCGGTTAATGCTACTATCTTGAGGAAAAACAATAACATTCATGACAGGCACATTTACATACATTGATAAAGTTTGTTGAAAAACTTAATACTGTTGCTATGATTACCAAAAAGTGAAAATATTCGATTTTGTTAATTTTATATTGATATTAAACCCTATGTGCCAACTTTTTGCTCCAGTTATAGATTGGTTGTAGTCAAAATTGAAAGTCAGGTAAGTTGTTCATAAATATCAATCATAAAAGTTTTTGGAATCTACATACAAGGGTACGTATCCAAGGAAACAGAATATTTTTCAATTTTTTAGGCATATTTTTTTTCGTCTAATTTCCATAGCAACGCTCTATTTAAAGAATCGAATTTGAATTTTTTGAAATGTGAAAATTAGGGTCACCCCAATGCCTTTAAAAATTGATCATCAGTTATATAGGGAAATGCTTTTTAAAAAGATAGGATGAGATTAAAACACTAAAAGAGTCAATTTAAAATCCCTTCGTTGTATTAAAACCATGGAACCATTGCCAACCTGTAAGAATGAAATATATAGAGATAACGAACAGTATTCAAGCTCAAAAGTCCATTAAACAATGCAAAATAGGAGCAGAGCAAACACGGACCTCCAAACATCAGAGGTGGGATCAGGTGCCATGGAGGAGTGAGCATCCTCTGCCGACCGGTCACACCCGCCGTGTGCTCCTTGTCATGATCGGGAAATAAGAGGGAAAATAGAAATATCAGATTTCGTCCTTGGTATATGTTACAAGGATCTTTTGTCTATTATTTGCTTGCATTTCAATCTATAATTGTCTTTATTCTTAAGTGTATCACTTTTTAAATTAAATGAACAAAATTATTACTTATGAATAATTTGTTTCCATAGTAACGTGTATAATTATTGATTTACCAAACATGTTTATCATGCATTCAAGACATCAGGCCTTCAACTTTTAGAAACAGTCATTGCCACTTGTTTGCTTTGCTGCAAACATTAACTGTAGGACTCTGAACATGTTGAAAAATGCCATTTTTTAAACTTTTGGACATGTTGCTATGGTAACCATGACACGTAGCAACCAATTTTTGCCTGACTTAAGTTTACAGTATCAAAGACTCTTATCATAGAGAGTTTGGAGAAATTCTGAGACTATGAGTGCCACAGCTCCTATATAAAAGTTCAAGTCATTACAGAGAATGGCTCTTAAATATTTTGATACAAGTATATTTGAGTAAAATGTGCTGTAAAAATGGAACATACATAGCCCGGGAATTGCAAATTCACATTTAAATATGCAACACATTAAGTCCTCTTAAAAGAAAATGTTTAATTCATTTTTTTTTTTACAAAAATCAACAGAATAATTGACATGGAACCCAGATTGAAATGTCAAAATGAGGAAATTTGAACCGGCGGTTTGAGATATATTGGCGAGTTTAAATAAATCAAATGCAAAAAAAAATGTAAATAATTCAGTAGATGACTCACTATCTTTGACCTTTGACCTCTTAATATGACCTTGACCATTATTGTAGAAAAAGAATGGAGACTCCTTATCATTATGTCCAAATATTAGGTCTCTACTATAAATGGATCAACTCACTTTGCATTTAATAACAGACTGTCATATGGCATGTAGATATGATTTGTTGATAGCATACACACGATCCAAAAATGTAGGCTCCCGAATGAACAATATATAGGATCTCTTTACTTTTTCTTCAGAATATGGTGAAAACATGTCACAGCTTATTTTTCTTACAAAGATCCTTGATTATTGACTTTATAGTGAAATCATTCTTTTTTTCTGGTGAACTTTATAAGATATGCGTTAAAAGATTTCATAGGTGTTGTGTACTGCCTTAAATATCAAGCAATTTTTTTGTGTTCTCCTACCCATTTCTCCGATCCCTTACATTAAAAGTATGTCAAAAGATAACGCTGACGTCACCATTAGAATTGATTGTTTACCGATCCTGAATAAACAATTATATCAGAGTTATCTTGCTCATATCAACAACACAGTCATCTAAAGGGAGGCAACACAGTTGTCAACCTGTGCGTGGAGGAGACTTCATTGATTATCTCCCTGCACGTGACATGCTCTAAACCAATCAGATTGACTGTATAATTCTGAAGGATAACAATATTAATTAAGTAATCAGGTTCACTGATTATCATCAAGATCAGTTAATATAAAGGTTCAATTCATGACAAACAAGATGAGGTTCACTTTTTTTAAAGGTGATTATTGTACACAACAACAACAAAAATGGTTTTAAAAATATATATCTATTTATACAGACGCCCGGGAGATGATAATCATTACAGCACCGATGGTTTATGTATGTACATTTTTTATAAGGCAACATATGTAACAGAAATCCAATCCATTTTTCATAGTCACACTTGACTGTGTCTGAAAAAAGAGATAAATATATATATTTATTACATATTACAAGTAACGAGGTTTGACGGCAATTACCTAATAATGGTCAAAAACGGAAGACTGGATCCTTACCCTTTCTGGAAAACACGAGAAAACAAAAGACAGAGAAAGTCCCAATTCTGTCATACTTACTTTATATTTGATTTTGTCTTCAAAATAATGACAAATTTTTGAATTTCATAACTGAGAAATATACAGTAAAACTCGCTTATAAGAAATCCAGGTAAAAGAAAATCTTAATTACCTTGCTCAGTTGAGTCTTTTATTTTTTAGCTGAAACAAAAAAAAAAGTAAATGAAAATTCATCTCCTTCTGCATTAAACATTTTCTTATGTCTTTTAATAATTCATTTTATTTTTGCTGAATTTCTCAGGATGTTTTTATAGTCATTATTCATAAATTTTTCTTTTTTTATCGAAAAAAAATCAAATGTAATGGTGAAACAATATGTATAAATAAATAGATAAAAGATAAATAAAAAAAGACATTTTTTTCAGATTTTACTACAATAAGAATAAAAGGTTATGTGTGAAAAGAAGAACAAGAATACAGATTATTATGAATTTTTTAGTTTGATTGAAATTAATTTTGCTTCTTAAAAGGGAAAAGGGTGCTTCTTTGTAAAATATGAACTTTCAATTTCAACATATATATATATATATATATATATATATATATATATATATATATATATATATATATATATATATATATATATTTAAAAAGTATGCAACCCTTTTACCTTAGGCAAATATCAAAATTACTGTCACCAAATGAAGGAAAAAGTTGTTAGAACATTCTTGGTGTTTCATAATACATGTACATGAAACAGGAACATATTAAAATAACGGTGTATACACAAGTTTCTCACAGTGAAATACATGAAATAAGCAAACTGTATACGGCAATTTGAAGTGAAATGAATTTGGATATATCTAGCGTGTAGGATGTGCAGTGCATGAATGAGGTACTAATATAATAAATGTAAAGATGTTGTACTTTTTTCAAGTTGTTTCATTTACAATTATTCTGCCGCCATATCAAAATATTTAAGGTATCGAATGGACCATTATGACAGGGATTTTTTTTCTATTTCATTGTGGGGGAGGGAGGGGTCTCAAATATACAGATATGTATTATATCATCATTTTGACATTACATTGTCATATCTCAAGTGGTTTTGACATTGCACTCCCAAATTTCAAGTCGTTTACATTTTCCTTCTACCAAATTGGCGCAGGTCATTAACTTCTTAAAAATAACAATGATAATAATGATAACCATGCAATGCAAAAAAATGTCATAAAACAAATTTGTATTAAGAGTGGACATCCTTGAAGATAAGCTTGTGACCTTAGACAAAAAGCATGTGTGCAATACAAGATTTAACAGATTGTTTTATATTTCCTTACTATAGTCACCATCGCCATCTGTCAGTAAGAAAACAAACGTAAAATTTAGTGATTGAAATTCTTTTTTTAACCATCTATACGATAATTATTCCTGTTGCATTGTGTGGAGCTATTAGTGACATCAATATTACACCTCATTTTTAGGGTATATTGTAATTAGCATGCAGGGAGCAAAAAAAAAGTTGTGTACACAAAGTGGAATATATTAAATCATCTTCGATGTTGAATTAAGTATTGCATGACATCTATAGTGAGACCGACTTCAATAATAACAGAAGATATCCTGCTTATATTCAAATCTAGTTTACAAACTAATTCATGATTAATTGATTGTATGTATATTAAACTCCCATTCGAGAGTTTTTCATTCATAAAGGGACGTTTTTCCATCCTCCAAAGAATGAATATTTTCGTTAAGCGTTAGACATATTCAAGAAATACTTGATGGAATGCATAATATCACCGACTTTGTAGTCAAAATGTACCATATGGAAATATCGGGAAAATGCAAATACTATGTTCACTCTTGTTTCAAATAGTAATTTTTTTTTTGTGTACATATAATAGTTATATCACTATATAATTCAGCAAAAATAGTTTGATACAAGAGCGATGGAAGTTAATTGAAAATTAAGAAGAGGAAAGATCGTGCATCTAATAAATATTCAAAGACAAGAGAAGAGCTTGTATATATTTTTCTACAGGAAACATCTACTTAAATACTACAAAACTAAGAGTTTTAAAGGGGAGGATGAATCTCCTACAAGAATACTTGTCTACATTCCCCTAATTATTCACACTACTTATTCTCACCAACTCAATTTATGCATATTGGATTTGAGGATCTTTATGCATATGCAAATTTATTCATTGAATATCCTGCAGCTGGACCTCCTATTGCTTGGACGGGTTGAATTGGAAAGGGGGCAGGGCCTGACATAATGGCGGGACCACCAGCATGGATTCCAGCTCCTCCCCCTATAAAACCTCCTCCTATGGAGGCCACAGGACCACCTGCGTGAATTCCAGCCCCTCCAAAGCCACCTCCAATAGAAGCGACTGGACCACCTACATGAATACCAGGTCCACCTCCTATTGAGGCCACGGGGCCACCTCCTCCTATGAAACCTCCTCCAATGGCACCTCCTGGGCCGCCGCCAATTAAACCAGCCCCGCCCCCTATGAATCCCCCTCCTTCTTTACCTTTGGAGTCTGTTGTGTGTTTTCAGAGAGTAATTATATTGCGCAAAAATTCCATATGTATTAAAAATATTGTTTACAATTTAAACTTCCTATTTCATCCTTTTGTTTTATTGCTTGGTTCACATATTTGTTATCTTCAAATACTTAAGTATTTTTAATCTCTAGAACAATTAAAGCTTGAAAAAGAAATTCGCTCATTTGAATATCTTTTTCTCAAATCAAAAAATACATTCATTGTGTATTCTTAAATGCCCAATGTAAAAAATAAATATATCTTTGTGTATCATGATTTATGGCGGTTAACTAATCTTACAAAAGGAATCCTTCCAAGGTTAAAATTTGAATTAGGATCGTATTCTTGTCTCATGACTATAGGAAGAATCGATTTCAGTTCATAAGAATGCCAAAAAGCGAAGTAAATCGCAAATGATTAAGAGAATGTAAAAACTTACCATAACCACCGTGGGCCTTAGCAACGGGGACGTGGATTTTCTTCCTATCAATAACGGGAAATTCAACTCCAACAGTCTTTACATTTGCAACTGAAAGAGATTAGACAAAAATATAAAGATTTAAAGATTAGGAGGAACAAGGTGTAAAATGTTGCAATATTACAAACCATACAGTACCACCTAAGAGGTGTTACGTTTTCACATAGTATACCTGCGACGGGCTCTGAAAAATAAAAGAAAACAAAAATTAGACATTACATTAGAACCAATAATCCATTAAAAATATTGTTAATTTCTATCACATGTATACTCCTTTATCCAGTGGATATAGTCAAATGATATTGTTATCAAATCCTCAGTTGTGGTCTCACAGTAAACGAATTTGATATAAGGATGAATTCATTATAACCCTATTTGGTGTAACTGTGTTACACTGTACCTTTCCTGACCCTGTGGATGTGTTTGAAGATGTCTACTGGGATCTTTTTGACGACCAGTCTGGGTTGTGGAACGTTCTTGAACACTATGAGGAATAGAAGTTAAAACCTTGTAAAACGTGTTAATTCAGAGTACAGTGAACCTTCTGTCATCTGGACCTTTCTCCGTTGAAATAAAATTTGTAGAGAACAGAATAAATTATATCTACCAATTATGTAATAAGTGATAAGCTTCATTAACCTGGACGATCCGCTATTTAAAATAACGCCCAGGTTAACAGGCTAGGGCTGTACAATATAATGGTAGATACTAAATTTAATCTCAATGTCAACTAAAAAGAATCTCAAAAAAAAAAGAGATTTACAAAAGGACCTTTTTACATTGTTCAAGCATTGTACAAATCATTCATTTGAAAAAAGGTTATAAAGATTACTAGATCCTCTGTGATCTTGCTAGGTTTTTTTTTTTCTTTTTGGGATGCCAAGATTTCCTAAATATTACAAAAACAATACAAAAAAATTCAAAAGAACATTTAAGTGGGTAACTTACCATGCTCAGTAATTGGCACTGGGACGGGCTGTTTCTCTGAAAGGTAAAATTAAAAAAATTAATTTATTAAGTTCATTTCTAAAATGACCATCAGTAAAATACTTTTTAAAGATGATAAAATATGTTTTAGAGATAAACCAGGGACAATGGTGTGTTACTGGTTTTAAAGAAGAAATGTTTTTGCTATTGCACCATCATGTTCTTTCTAATTCCATTTAGATGCAGAGTGTAAATATGAATATAACAATATTACACTCTTATTAATGATAGAAAATATAACTTTATCTTTTTTCTAATATTTGATTAGCAAGTGTTATCATGGTTTCAAACAAACACAAATTACTAATCCTAACTTTTTTCACTACATTATTGTGTCGACTGCAGAGGAGAGCGACACTAAGGGATTTTGCCCGGCGTCTATTTCTTTGTCCGTTTGTCACATCTTATATCTCGAGAACTGTACGGGGTAAGGATTTGATATTTTGCACATTTATTGCTTGGAACTACAGCTTTTTTTAAATGACCATGGTTACCGACTTCCTGACCCCTGACCTTGACCTTTGACCTTCTCTTCCAAATATTTTATAATACCGATAAACAGCATATTTTTCACATTTAAGAGGTAAGTCTACGCTATTTAGTGTGTGCACTGTTTGTCATAAAACATAACGAAAAATACCAGCGTTAGAATCCACTTGACCTTGACCTTTGATCTACTTTGCAAAAAATACTCTGGAAGCTTAATTTTACGTATGTCTTTTGAATTTTGAAAGGAGGGAAGGGGTTTTATTAATTAGCATTCATTAGACCTCATGATACTGCACTTTGAAACTGTATGCCGATAAGTTTTCACACAAACTTATAATTAAATACTATAAAAATACATCGGCATCGGTATTCTTCAATTGATCGTGTAGGATCACAATTGCAGTAAAGACAGAGTGAAATCTCATTTTGAGTGTTGTTGGAATCACGTATAAATAAAATGAAAAATAGTTATTTCTAAAAATTTCAATTTAATTTTTCATTTGAGGTTTGAGGAACTATACTTTCTTGTCAGATTCTATTGCAGTCTTATACTATCCGTGAATTTTGTTTTCTTTCCAGACAAAACAAATGCCTGAACTATAATGCTAGTAATAAATAAATAGTTGACCACTTTTAGACACATGCGTTCTTTGGAACACTCTTGTTTAGTTGTTGTTGTTGTTTTTTTTTTTTTTTTTTTTTTTGGGGGGGGGGGGTATTTTCCTTCAAGAAATACATTTGATCCATTAATATTAAGATCCATTTACTATTGGCAGAACATAATAAAAGTTTGTAAACTGACTATCAAAATAAAATAAAGGCTGCTATATTTAATCTAGCTATAAATATTAATTATTTTGTAATCATGGAGCTTTTATTCATTGTTATCTCAGTTTTTGCATGTCATATGTACTAATTGTGACGCTTTCTTTATTTTTGGTAATTCTTGTCATACTTACTAATTGTGACTCTTTCCTCGAACACTGGTTTGGGTCTGAATACTGAAAATGAATTTTAATAATGATTAAATTCATAACTTTAAAAACAAAAAAGTGAACACAGTCTATTATGGAAATGTAAACGAAAGATTTCTGAATTCAAAATATATGTATAATTATTAAACTAAAAGTCATTGTACAGTAAAACTCAATTATACGGTATTCACTGGGACTTCGAATTTTAATTCGTTTGAGCTGCGAGAATCTTTATATCTGAATAAAGGAGCATAGTGAAAAATTGACTATGGGATTCCTCATAACCGGGCATTCCTATTAACCAAGTTCTTAATAACCTAGTTTCACCGTAATTCTTAATTACATGCACTGTTCATTGAGCAAACGTCCTTACTTTTATTTTCTTTGAAAACAGTCTTCTTTTTGATAACAATTTTTGGGTACGGTTGATCAACATGTACTGGTCTGACGACTGAAAGAGAAGTAAAATGAAAGTAAAAATAAAAGTCAATCCGAAAGCAAAAGATATTATTGATATTAAAATTAAAAATCAATGGAAGACATTCTACTAATTCCTTCTTTTGACCTTCAAAGATTAACCTTATATGTTTAAAGAATGAATTTTCAAATTAAACAACAATTAGATAAATTAATTAATTTTGTTGAAGTCAGAAAGAATGTTGTTAAGCTCTGTTTGTTGCCTTCGGTTAAATGGTTTCACCTGTTCTGACTTTGTGGATTGGAGTTGGGACATCGACTGAAAAGAGATAAACGAAAAATGTATAAAAGATCCAACCTTTATTAAATCCCAAGGTTTCTTTACATGGTTTATTGATAAAAAATAAAAAAAAAAAAAAAAAAACAATCGTGCCAAAAGAGATATACATGCAATCTCATGTCATCTTTTATTAAAATGCAAATTGCAAATTTTGTGCTGCATTAAGTTTATTTTGGCATAACAAGAATCAACAATTAAAAAAAAATCACATCATTCTTCAAATTTACCTGTTTTGTGTACATCGAATTTCTTAACAACTTCAACTGGCTTGATAACTGAAGAGAAAAGAAATTGCAAATCAAAATGTATTTTTTAGTCTTTGTGTGTGTGTGTGTGTTCTTTGGGGTATATATTGTATTTTGTAGTTGTGGTCGAAAAGTCATATCTGCATGAAATTAGGCAAACATTACTGAAATATAGAGTTATCTTTTTATTTCTCTCTCTCTCTCTCTTAAGGAAGGGAGGATGACAAGGGTTTGTTTTCTATTATACAGCAGTATAAAAAAAAATAAATAACTTTACAGAATTAAAAAGGTTATACATGTACAGCTTATAAATTCTACTTACTTGTGTGCTTCCTGATGAATGGTTTGTCATAAATGTCTGAAATTGAAAATATAAATCAAGGTCACATCTGGCAAATGGTGATAGCGATAAAATGTAAGCCAATGTGATATTTTGAAACATAAAATTGTGACAATAAAATTCAAGGTTACTTATTGTAAAGGGTTATATATTTACTATACGTATTTAAACCAAAGTGATTCTTAGATATTTTTATGCCCCCGTAATCGAAGATTCGGGGCATATAGTTTTAGCCCTGTCCGTTTGTCTGCCTCTGTCTGTCTGTCCGCAAAAACTTTAATCTTGCCAGTAACTTTTGATTGGTTGGAGCTATGGCTTTCATATTTCACATGTGTATTTCTTGTTACAAAACCCTTCTTTGGTACCATTATACTTTGCCTTTTGACCTTGACCTTGGAGTTTGACCCACTTTTGCAAAATGTTATGAGACTTTAACCTTGGCCATAACTTTTGAACGGTTGAAGCTAGGGCTTTCAACCTTCAGATGTGTATTCCTTGTTACACGACCTTCCTTTAAAATCCAACAACGTTGACCCATTTGACCTGTATCTTGGAGTTTGACCTACTGTTGTAAAAAATATAACCTTGGCCATAACTTTTGAACAAATTGTGCTAGGGCTTTCATACTTCACATGTGTATTTCGTGTGACAAGACCTTCCTTTTGATACCAACAGCTTTGATCCTTTGACCTCGACCTTGGAGTTTGACCTACTTTAATTTTGAAAACCTTTTACCTATGACTTTTGAACAGTTAGTGCTCGAGTTTTTATACTTCACATGTGTATTTCTTGTGACAAGTCCATCCTTGAAATCCAACATCTTTGACCCTTTGACCTTGACCCTAGAGTTTGACCTATTTTTTGAAAAACTTTAACCTCTGTCATAACTTTTAAACAGTTAATGCTTTCAAACTTCACATATGCATTCCTTGTGACAAGAACTTCCTTCAAACACCAACATCTTTGACCCTTTAACCTTGACCTTGGAGTTTGACCTACTTTTGAAAAACTTAAAGTTTGGTCATAACTTCTGATGTTAGGGCTTTCATACGTCACATGTAAATTTTTTGCGAAAAGACCTTTCTTTGGAGACCAACAGTTTTGACATTGACATTGACCTTGGAGTTTGACCTAGTTTTAAGAAATTTTAACCTTGGCCATACTATTTGAACGTTTTGTTCTAAGGTTTTCACATTTCACGATAATATGTATCACTTGTAACATTACCTTTTCTCGGGCACCATTTAACCTTGACCTTGCCGTTTTACTTAGTTTGAAAAAACAACTTTAACCTTTGCCTTAACTTTTTAACGGTTGGTGCTAGGGCTTTCATATTTCACAGGTATATTCCTCGAGAAAAGAATATACTTTGGGTACCTACATATTTGATCTCTTGACCTGAAGTTTGACTTGCATTTGAGAAGCTTTACCCTTCACTGCTATATGGGGGCATCAGTGTTTCGCAAACACATCTTGTATTTATTGTTAAACAATATTATAACAATATTAACAAGGTGGCTTAATGTAAGATGTAACTCTGTAACAGTACAAACTATGCAACATACAGTCAACACTTTATAATAAACTTTGTGGTCTATAATCAAAAGCAGTTAAGATCTTGTGATACATCGAGCTAAAATCTTTAAAATCAAAGAACTGTCAGCAATGAACTGGAATCAGTTAAATTACGATATTCTTGGACTATTGCGTTTTCAACTGGTGTTTTTTTTTCACCTTGGATTTGTGTGTTGGGGGGGGGGGGGGGGTAGGAGGTTGGGCGTTGGGGGCTTATCTAGTGTCATTTAGCTGGTTTAGTTTACTCACATTTCTGTACATGAACTTTGGTCTTTCTGATAATTTTTGGTCCTGAAAGAGAGAAAAAAAAAATAAAGGGTTATGATTTTTTGACAAAACAACTTAAATACAAGTCAATTTAAAAATGTTAACGTTGACGACTACCAAGCATTGATCCACTTTTAAGCATTCCAAAGAGTATGATGTATATTAATATATATGAACGACCTTTTTGGAATATCTTACAGAAAATATTTTTATGTTATGGTGTAAGCACACAAAATGTCCATGAAACAAAGAAAAAAACGTTATAATTATGTTAATTAATTGAATTTTGGGCGATTCAAAATAAAAAAAAAATCAGCTTCTGGCATACATGAAAACCTTGAAACTTACCGGAGGCATATCTGACAGTGGATTCCTTGTAATAGATCTCTTTGTAACACAAATTTCTCTTGAAATGCACGTGCATTTCATAGTAAACATTTTCTCCCAGGAAAACACCTCTGAATTTCATGTGAAACCTTCCGAGTAAAATTCAAGTGAGGCACGTGACCGTGTCATTTTGTTATACTTACTTGTGACAATTCTTGGTATCTCGTTGCGTATAACTTTGACCTCTTTCTGGACGACCGGAACTTGGTGGATAAGACCAACTGTAAGGCAGATTTAATTAATCATTAATAGGATTATAATCTGAGCAGATATCGGGAAATCTTAAAGCAGATTTATTTGATTTCGAGTTTAAATGAATGTAAAATTGGGCACTTAATTATTGTCTCCTTTTGTTAATGATAACCAGCTACATATTTATTCATTATTTCATTAATGCTCTAATTTTAAAGATTTAAAAAAACTCCTTAAAGAAAGGTATTCAGGCTTTTATTTTTGAATAGATTAAGAGAATTATTTTATGTTTGAGTCACTACTTACCATGCCTGTGCACGTCATGTGCTACCTCATGGACAGCCTGCTTAGCATGCGCTAAAAAAATACAAAACATAATATTAAGATCGCAATTTGATATTTTTGAAGAAATGCGTTTTTAAATTAAAAAAAAACACACTATAATACATTATTCGAATATAACTGTGAAAAAAAAATAAGTCTAATACTTACGCACTACATGCACGGATGGCTCTGAAAGGGAAACAGACTAAATATTAAAGTATTGTAAATCGTATTAGGCAGTGGATATGTAATGAATACTATAGAATTAATGTATCAGAATAAATTGAATAATCAAACCAAAGTCTGCTATTAATTGAAAGTATATTGAAGGAAATCGGATAATGTAGATAGTGGCTAACTATACATACCGAAAGTTCTTTTGTTACGAATATTTGAAAACAATTTCTGAGATTTATTAACAGGGCGAGAGGATGAAATGTTTGAAAATGAAGCAGATTTAATAGAGAAATCTGTTGATCAGGTGCTATTAGAAATGTGTGATCAATGGTAGAAAATGGACCTACATAGTACATTTCAAGGTGATTGTGATCTTACACTTTATCGTCAGCCTTGCTGGCAGCATTTTTTTTTCTCCATTTATGAAAAAATTGGGTCAATGCTGATCAATTTCATATTTTCCTACATAGCATATTGTAAAAAACGTACACGTGGCCTAATTACGGTCCGTAATGACTTGATATATTTATACGCAGTCACGATGCTTTGGGGACATAAAATACATATAAACCTGGCTGGGCATGCTTTTGTCACCGCATTCGATGTATATTTTGTTAATTGGCAATGGTAATAACGCAGCTGTTCGAGTTATCTCCCGTAGCACTTTTACTATGCTCCCTATTTAAGACAAACATAATAAAGTACGCAATGCCTTAAGGTCAAGATCTAGTAAATGACTTCAGACTAACTTTTTGGTGCTAGATCCATTATGATGTCATAATTAATTTTAACTTTCTTTTTCCCGTACTTTACGGCTTTAGTAGAATTTTGTAGAAAATAAAGTACTTTCCTGGAATTCAATTTGAAATCATGTGAAAAGTAATCCCGATACCTATATTCAATTTGATATTATTTTAAAGAAGAGGCCAAGAACATACAAATTATTGTTTTCTGAGAGACTGTAGGCAATCTGGATGTATTTCGTTGTCTGATATGAAAAAAATCTCCCGTATTCATGACTAGTTTTCTTAATTTTTCATTGAAAATGACAGTTTAAAATATGATTTTTCGTCTTGTTCATCTACAAATTACACCTTATTTGACCAAGCTAAAGTTATGAAGCACCATTCAAGGACTTTATTTCTCAAATTTGAGAAATCTGTAGGCACCCTTCGTTTACTAGATCTTGACCTTAAAAAGAATAAATATGTCCGAGTACATGTATCACTTTTTAAAGGAAACTATACGTGTAACAAACACATTTACTGACGACAATGTTCAGCTTTATAAACTTATTTCCTCAACCTTTTTTTAAATTGGATTTTTTGGAAAAGTGTGCGTGTGTGTGTTACATGTATTGAATGCGCGATAAATTAATTAGATCTTATGTTCTAATATAGCATTCACCGTGTTGCATTTGTAGATGATTTTGTACACACTTATGATAAACAAATATCATCAGAAAAGTAATGTTTTATCCGCAAATGATATAAAGCCTTTAATGACATAAAGCGTATTAATGACAGATACATGTAATTAGATAATATCGACCATTAATGATTTAAAAATAAGTTCGATAAAAATCAAAGTCACTCATTATTCGATGTTACAATTTGATCATTCATTGAAATTATTTTTTGTCGTCTTAAGTGCAAATGACATATAATAATTAGAGTATATACGATTATTGCAGCCCGGAGGACCGGGCTGCTCTATACATATAAGTTTAAGTGTTGGTATATGGGGATTAAGGTGGGAGTAGTTATTCAGAATTAAAGGTTTTCTAAACATTAAAAAGATTGTTAATCAGAATGTTCTTTCCCTTTATAAATTACGAGATACACAATAATTTTACTTCCATAAAGTGAATCTGTAAAAATATATATGTTTTTCATATTTAATATATAAAGTTGCTTATCATTTACTATCGAAAAAACGACAGGTCCCTTTTTTTAGAAGATCGAATTTTACTTATCGCATAAAAACGTAAAAATGTACTTTACACAGTTCGTGTTTTATATTCTTAAAGTGAAAGACATTTTTGAAAATAGGTGATGCATGTGTCTGGTTTCAAATTATATTTTATGCAGCCAACATTTACTTGAGAAATTGATAAAGTTTAAAATGGTAATCGTTTTTGTTCGATTTTCATCCGACTATAAGTTTTCAAAATATTCTCGACTATTGTCTCCATCATTTAGACGCATGCCTTTTTCATACATATCGAAGCGGTTTAATGATCAAAACTCATTTCCATTGTTTACTTTATTTATTTCCCGGGCGACAATTGATGGTTACATCAATGTTTTCTTGTTATTTAATGACTTAACTATGTGAAAGAAGTGTTAAATCGTTGTCATATTAATTAACTCTTAAGTACCTTTTTAACTGCATCAAGAAAGCATTGCTTTTAACATTTAATGTTTTACACACGGTGTACATCCGTAGCACAAGAGAATAATTATATAATATTTTCTATATGAAATTGTTAACATGACAGTTTTATTCTTTCTGGGCCGCTTACGCCAATGCTGACATAACGACATTCACAAGAACAAATGGCGTCTTGTACATAAACATGACATTATACCATGCATCAGATACGCTTCATTGCCCTGGGCCCCATACATCATTGAACACTGCAGCGTAATAAAATGCACAGAAGATATCAATTGATCATTTCACGCTTGGCTAATTTAACTTAAATACATTAGCATATTTTTGCCTAATTGCAGGTGCTAAATCCTTTTATCAGCCCGATTTCGTCGAATCGCTTGATTCGTGTGACCACTTTGCGACACATAAGTCATTCAGAAACTAGCTATGAAGAATGATGAATTATTTTCATTTACTAGTGTTGTTTTATTCAAATTGCACATAATTAATCCTCAGGTGATTTATTAAGCTTAACACAATAAGTTTATTTGACAATCCGTTTAATGAATTTGTTTTAAAAAGTAAAAAGACCCTTTTGAATATCCAATGATATGAAAGTGTGGAAATTGACGGGTCATTTAAGTTAGCTTGTTCTCTGAATGTCACTGCCAAAAACGGTTCTTGATCTTACATTTTACGACAATCGTGAAAACACTTACCGGCAAGAGCCCCGACTGAAAATTAAAAAAAAAAAATAACATTAAGCAAATTAATTTATCTTAATTAATATTTTCTTGTGAGCTATTAGAAAATGTCAAATCTCATAATGACAATGTTCTTTTTTTTCATAGCACAAAAATATGACATAGTATCTTAAGAAAATTAATGAATGGTAAATTAGGAGTATCATTGTTATCTATGCATGAATTTTTATTTTAAATTTGCAGTTTCCTTGTTTTCCATATCATACACGGAAATTAATAGTTGATTTTTTTTTCAAGGAGTTTTTCCCCTTTAAACATTAATTTTAATAAAGACCAGACTATTTTAAATTGATTTCAAATCTGCTTGCTGCTTCTTCATTATTCAGTTGATTTGATATGATATAATTGATTTGATGATATATACTTGCAGAATTTGGAGGGGAAAAAATAAATTGAAAATTGAACTTTATTATTATTTTTTTTTTTTTAAAATCAAACACCCCTTAATTCCTTTTTAATGCTCAAAATCCACAAACTGTCTCAACCATTCTTTAATCAATCACAATTTCAATAAAAAATAAATATTGGGAAAAAAATTAAATTTCAAAAATTTAATTGCATAATTAATACAGTTTTGAAAACTTACCAATAAGCGATAACAATAAGGCCGCAATCATGATCAACACACGCGGGTAAGGCAATGTCTATTTCAAGCCGTACAGCGCCGACTCACAACAATTGCTATATATACGTAGCTATTAATTGTCGACAACGACCTATCCATGGACCCGGATTCTCAGTAAGTTCCTTAAAACAACGCCCATTTTTCTGTGGTTTTCAAAGCTCCGCCCTGCACCTGATTTGCATAAACCGCACCAGTCGAAATGTTTATTGCTTATGAATATTCATCTGTTATCTCGAGGCCCGGTACAGGGTGACGGTAAAGTATTGAACTGAGTCTTATCACGTAGAACAGATTGTTTATGCATTAAATTAAATCAAAATGTATATCTTTCTTACTGGATAATGAATATAGATAAGACAGAATTTACTTTACTAAAAGGTATTTAAATATTGATTTAAAATGTTGAATCTATCACTTAAAAAATTAAGTAAATTTTGTTGTATTTGTTAACTTTTTGCATTCCATATTGTGTGGAAATCCGTTATATGCTGTCATTAGGTAATGTATTTAAAATGCCCTGAAGACATCTTATTTCTGTGTTAAATAGAACATATGTCCATTTGTCTTCATATCTTCAAGCTTAACATTAGCTGTAATGTGAATCTATAGATATTGTATCATTATCAACGAAAAAAAAATATTACGATAGATAATTTTACTTCTTTGATTTCAGAAGTATATACAACTCATGTGTGTGTATGTATTGTTAATATGTCATCCTATTTAAAAAATTGAAGGTTTTCAATTGTGTGGCATACATGTACTAAATCTGATTTCTCCTGAGATGCATAGTAGAAATTTCAGAGGTATGCGTATTTTTGGTATCATAAAGCTCAGCTCTTAAATTCATACCACGACATGGACAGTTAAAGCTGAAATGCCGAATTTTGTACCAGAACCATATAAGAAGGCAAGAGCAAAGACAGTTCTTATTTCGTATCGGCGACCTCTCCCCTAGATTCAAGGTCTCTTCCAAATGGTGTTAGTACCTAGTATCAAGTGTTAAATTTTAAACTGATGTCCATGCCTCCTTTATTTTAATGTACCTTGACTCTATTCTATAAGAAAGTAAACGTTCATGAAAATACAGGACAAATTGTTGTGAAAGATTGATTGAATTTTCGATATCAAATTAGAATTGAAGTGTTTAACCCCTAAGGTTAGGTTCACTGAAAATTTTGACTGGTGCGGAAGACATAATCAGTGTCTCTACCTATAGTTTTACAAGGCCAATATCAAGTTTACAACTTATATTATTGTCAATATAATCTTAATCATATTTAATAGGTAATAGCCGAACCTTTTTTGGATTTTGAAATTTTGTATCCCCGGCCCCCTTTCTGAATTAACTCTCATATGTATTCAGAGTATGGGCATTGGTTTCTTTCCTCCCATTTAATTAAGGAAGATTTTTGTGTACTTGAAATTCTTGGCTATCTGAGCAAAGGAGACCATATGAGCCTGCCATACTTGACATTATATTAGTCGGGTGTTAAGTCAGGTGTTAAGTCAGGTGTTAAGGCATTATGGACAATTTTTAACAACCTTCACCTGTAACTTTGTACATCTATCAAAATATATATCTCTCCTAAAATTCTGTAGTTAAATATCAACAATTTATTTCAAAACTCTTTCTGTTTCACCTTGACTATCTTTGCAATATTGTGCAAAAGTACTTACAAGCGATTGCAAGTGTGCAGGTTAACATGAAAAGAGAGAGCGAAGATCTCAGTCGGACCCAGTAATCAATATATTCTCGGTAAAAAAAAAAAAAAAAAAAAAAAAAACTTACAATATGGTCCAACATGACCTTCAATATTTACATACATGCAATTTTTCGAGGTCATGTCATTTTTTTTTTCTTTTTCAGCCTGAAGACCAGCTTATGTTTAGAGTTGTGTGGGGAACGAACTAAATACTTAGACATATTTCTATCTGATTAAGTGGATAACAAAATAAAAATATTTCCATTTCTCTTGTCAGGTGCACACGTCCCTGTGTGTTTCCAATGAGAATTCTGGCAGGTAAAAAATTCTAAATGAGGTATCCATTTATAACACTACAAATTCAACACTGTAATTATACTTGTACATTGCCAAAAAATGATGCATTAGGTATTGTGATTTATGCTATCTAGGTCAGGAAAAGGTCTATTAATTTTATTGCTAATTAACACTAGAATTAAACATTAACGTTCTGATCTTTGGACAATGTTTTATGATTAGGCAGAATCATTTGGTTTTTTTTTTCTATGAAAATATTTGAATATTGCTATTTTTAGAGATATACATTACCAGGATGCTATATTGAAATGTCTTTTATTGCACCTTATTAATAATTCGGTAAAGATGAAGAGCAAACTGACAATAGAGAATGACTCATTGCTATCAATTAAAGCAATCAAAACGACGAAACAATTTGATTTCCTGACTGATCCGACCTTTCTGTCCTTCAAATACTAACTTATTCTAACGAAGTTATGTTATAAAATTTAAGCATTGAAACCTGCAGGTGTATATATTTCCTTATGATTTTTACACGTTTTGTTCTAGGTCTTGAAATATGTATAATGCTCATTGACATGTCGAGAGTACAGCAGGAAACTGCCTGTCTTGTGTATATACTCCTGCAGGTTCACTTTGAACAAATTGAACTTGGTTAACCTCAATGGAATGAAATCAATGCTTCAAAACAAAATGTGTAACAAAATGCAGCAAAAAGCGTATATGTGTATTTAAGGCGGGTTGTCTGCCAATTGAAAAGGTCTAAGTGTTTATACTAAGTTAAGAGCGAAATATAAGTCCAAGAAAAGTTCCCAAACTCCCACCCACCCCCAATACTGCATGCCTGCACTCCTCATCACTCTTGATCATTTAAGTTGAATTAGACATACAATTCAATAAATAAACCTTAGGTGGACAACCAAGAAACTCATTTAAAAACACTATACAAACAGCAATGGCAGAGTATGAGGAGGGAAGCATAAAACATGAAGCATTATTTCCCGATCACGGCAAGGAGTGACCGATGTGACCGGTCGGCAGGGGATGCTCACTCCTCCATGGCACCTGATCCCACCTCTGATGTTTTGGATGTCCGTGTTTGCTCTGCTCCTATTTTGTAATGTTTAATGGGCTTTTAAGCTTGAATACTGTTCGTTATCTCCATATATTTCATGGTTACGTACGCAGCTCAACATGTGAGAGAATAGATATTAGTTCTAAACACAGCAGTTCAAAATTAGAACAGGGTTTTAACTAATGTAAGGAGAGGACAAGGTTAGAGGTAACACAACAGAAAAGTAGAAGAAGAACAAGCTTATTTGAGCCTACACCCAGACTAATTACAGCGATTAAAAGATAACAAGAAAAAAGGTTTCTTGCGGAAAACAGGTACTATACGAAACAGTAATTTCAGCATGCAGGCATGCAGATTATAAAATGGACTATGTCATACTGTTTGGCAGGAAAGTTACGAAGAGCGATAATATGTCTAGCATAAAATTTTGCAATGGCAAGGGCAGTTGACATTAAATAGGCGCCTTTGCATGCATGAAGACGACGAAATAGCGCTTGCTGGGTGTCATGTTTATATCGAAAGCAACCATTTACAGAATATAAACGTGGTACCTATTCAGGTGTCAGAAGACAACGTTATGTAAACGCGTTACGGAGTAATAACCACATTGATTTGTTACATGTGCATTTTAATGTGCATACAGAAACATATATATTTATTTTAGTATAGTAAGGAAAGTGTTAACTCAATAAAGTGGAATGTGCAAGGGTATAACGATTTTTATTTTATCAATAATGTATTGAATATTAATAGTTGAGGTAAAAATGTGTAGTTCATTGCTGTTTACATTTAAGATTTCCGTTATTACTTTCCATCTTATTTGCTCGTCCGGACCCACACCGCACCAACCCAAAGTAATGTTTCATTTCAGAAAGTTATTGTATTTAATGTTTTTTGAGATTACACCGTTTTACTGATGTAAAATCCTTACTTGAAAAGTACTTTGGCAAAGCAAGTGAATGCCACGGTCAATGTCAATAAAATCAAAAAGAATCCTTCCACATTTTTCAATTTTATTAAGGGTTTACAATTCATTTGTTACACAATGCCAGATTAGTATCGCCGGCGTGGCGCAGTGATTAGAACGTTTCGTACTAGTACATTGTATGTTGTTCCTCGTTAAACCGCAGGTTCGAATCGCACTGCTTGTCTTGCAGACTGGGATTAAGATGAGACATTATAAACCGAGGTCCCTTGTCGCATTAGACGCTGGCACGAAAAAGATCTCTTGCTACACAAATACCATGAATACCGAGTACAGATCTAAATTTGCAGCCTTCCATCGACAATTTAAAGCGTCACCTTATGAGTGAAAAATCATTGATGAAAAGCAAAACTAACAGCCAAACAAACAATGGCAAATGCTTTACACAGATTAAGGAAAAAACGACATAATATTGGCAGTGACTATACATCATTTGAGACTTTTTTTAATGACCAATTAAAATTCAAATCATTCATATTACAAAATACCCTAAGTGATTCCAGTTTTGAAATTCAATGAAACTATATGTCACGGATCCAATACTAATCGTTTTGAAAAGAAGGATGCAAATTCAATAAGTGGATCATGCTTTTAAGCTGACAAAGTGTACAAGGAGTTGTTTTGCATGCATAGAACTAAGACAAACTATTTTTACTTATGAAAAAAGGAAATGCTCAGAATAAAGAAACATGAACTTATTAGCTTTTCCAAATTAAATACAATAAAAATCACTTGATATAAAAAGCTGCTCTTTAAAGTAGGCCGTCGCGTCAAGTTTTTATCGCTTACATTTCCCAGAGATTGGATACAATCGACTGTTATAGCCTCAACAAATATAATAAAAATAAAAAAGACGGTATAATTCTCAGGTAAAAAAAAATAGTGCATGATAACTTCTGATGTTTCCTGTTTATAATGCATATCTGTCCATATTGAATGTCACGTGAAGATCACAGCCAGTTGTATAATTTGTTTCTATTGAAAAATTGTAGATTGTCAACCACATAAAGTTAATAATTCCTTTTCTGTTTTAGCTCAGTCTTTTTTACACTCTACATGGTTATTATGATATATCATGCACGGATCTAGAGAAGGGAAGTTGAGGTAGTCTGGACCCCCACCCCCTTGAATTTGCAGAATTATTTAAAGTATACACTGAAGGAAATAAAAAATGACTTTGCTTGCCCCCCCCCCCTTAGAAAACGTGGACCCACCATTGCTCGTCAAGAAATTTCTCGATAGGATTTTTTCTTTGACTGGGGTGGACACCCCCCCCCCCCTTCGAAAAAAATCCTGAATCTGCACTTGTATAAAGTAATTAAGTCGATTAATTCAATTTTAAAGCAAACTCTCAACATATATCTTCCTAATGTTTAAAATTTAACAACGCCAAGTTATTTTTGATTTTAAAAAAGTAGCTTCCGTTAGTTAATTAGAAAATAATATATGTTATTGTGATAGACAAGTGCACAAAAATGCAATTATTTACAACACACTGATCTAATTCTATCTCAATTATGTTTAAATTTACTTTACAATCCATAAATGGTAAATAATAATCGTACATTTGACATAAAGTACTGCTAATTGCATGTTTAACAATGTTCACACAGGTAGTTTTATTTTTATTCTATGTATAAAAAAACAAAAAAATCTGCGTATTTTTTTTTTTTTTTTTTTTTTTTTTAATTCATTTCCTTCTCTATTTATAAAATGAAGAGATTCTCCTTAGAGATTTTTTTTTTTTAAATACACATGTAGTAGTAAACACTATTTGGACATATATTGATATAGAAAAATAAATCTTTTTCAAACATTTGACCTCTGCTTACATACTGCTCTAAGTAATATTTTTATTTTGTTAATTCAATCTCAGACAAGAATTGCAAACTTTAAAAAAAAAAAAAAAAAAAAAAGAGTTGCAACTGTACTTAGGCCAGATCGTAAATCGTCTGAAAACTATATAAAAAGGGAAAGATAATAATAATCAGCAAAATAAAAAGTTATACTGTCTGAAATAATGACAGCTGAAATACCAACATTATGTTCATGCAGTTTTCATGGTGAAAAACTCGTAGAAAAAAATGTAATATTAAGATGAAACTGGGTTTTTTATTATTCCATGTCAAAATGAAAAAAGCAACAACAACAACAATTTCCATGCACAGAGTCACATCTTAAAGAAAAAAAAAAAACATTATATATACGTGTACACGTCTTTTATACCTCTAAAGGGCATTAAGATATTTTAATATATTATTGAATTCGTATGGATTCCAAAATTTTATTCGAATCTTTTAGAAAGTACGAAAACAGACTGTAAATGATGTATTCATCAACAGGAAATAATTAGATTCAACGGACTTTGAAAACTACAATAATGACAATGAGAAAAGCCATTTGGCTAAAATAAATTTAAAAAATCGAACATGAAACCCGATTTTCTAAGGAGGAATGGGTCTGCGTTTTTATCACACTATTCTCGGTCTGAGCAGAATCAAATGGGGTAGGTAATAGAGACGTGTTTTAAAAAGCTTCCATATTATTTTAACGCATGATTCTTACAAAAAAATCTAATTTGAAATGATGAAAATTAATATATAAGGTGATTAAGATTAGTTCTCTGTACGTGCACGGAAAAAGGAAATGCTATCAGGAAATATTAATATTTCCCTCTTGGTCATCATGGATTTTTTTTAAATTTATATAGATTTATTTTGTTGACTCCATGCAGGAAAGCATAAAAAAGTATTTGAATTAATATCCGTCTAGTTAAACCGTAACCTTCGAAGGTGGTTCTGATCAAAATTGAATTATGACTTATCATAACTTGAATGTCGTAGGCAAGGTTTACGTCAAATCAAAGTCAAGGTCATTTGTCGGTCATGAAAAAAAAATTAAAAATCTCAAAACACTTCTCGAAACACTTCTCAATTACTGTTCTCGGAAGACTTTGTGGAGTGGGAATACTATTTCATTCGCTTATAGCTGAACTATCTTAGCCTTAACTTCATGGATAAATTCGATCCAAAGTATTAAAGATATAGAAATAAAATTTTTATGAAAGTAAAGACTTTATTTTTATTTAACAACAATCCTTTATCGCCTATTTGGTCTTATTGTAGAATTTGATATTTGCATTACCTACATCTCCATGATATGACTGAAAGGTGTCCTATTCATTACTCATTTAAGAAATAAGACTAACCCAAAACGACAATGTGCACTTAATGCACTGTTAATGATATTTCCTGAAACTGTTAAAACTCTGGTAAACCTTTGTAGTTCTTAGATTGGAAATAATGTTTTGGAATAAGAAACCTGTTAGCTTTAACGGATTCCTTGTTCAACACTTGCTTGAACCTTAACGGATTTCTTGTTCAACACTTGCTTGAACCATTTCATTAAGTGTTACCCGTCAGAAACGCAATGCTTACACATTGAAAAAGCGTTCGAAATTATTGTTAATCAACAGTCTTATTTGTAAGTTTAGTGATTTCAACGTAAGTTAACAAGTAAAATAAAAAAAGAGTGTCCTTGAATTTTTTTTTCTAACTCCATATCAATAAGTCTTCATATGGCTCTTTGATCAACATTTGGACAATTTTTGTAAATTTCATTTTCGCTTAGCAAATATCGCATTTGGTGTTATTATGAAATTTATTATTCTGAATATACGAGGCAATTTTAAAGTCAAGTCTGAGACATACTTGGAATACTTGAACGTAAAAATGTGGTATAATTACGAATGATGCTAGAATAATTTGTAACGTTGATCAAGGAATCATGTTTACATGAATAAACTTCACTGGATTGTTCAAAGTGTAAATGTTGGAATCTGAGTCCCAAGAAGGAGTGTATATCCTTCGTTTTTATTTAGGGATTCTTTTCTAACAGTCCAATCTTTGCAAAAAAAAGTTGCAATGAAAAGTCTTTACTTTTGTAAAATATTGTCAACAAAATAAAGTAAATAGCTGTTACATTTATTTCATAGTAAAAGTTATGTATCAAAATCTAATTATTTATTTATTTATCTTATTATTGGGTTTTAAAAGAATAAATGTTTTAGTGTCTTTTTATAGTTCTTCATTCCTTTAAAGTTTCTTCACCATTCACGTTTTATATTTCTTTAATATAATGGTTTTCAAATATTGCGTTTTAAACGTAATTATTTGTTAATTTGGGTATAGATATTGAAACACATTTACATAATTATTTAAAGATTTTTTTCTAGGATTACAACATCAAAGGGCTTTTTTTTCTTGGCATGCACAACATAATGTGTTGCATTTCATTTAATTATCAAATAATAATTCTGTTTTGAAAGAATGGCAAATGTGTTCAGCTAACTTTTGTCTGAGTGCGTATAAAGAAAATAGGCATACGCATGGAACTGTATATAGAGATAAGAAAATAACTAGTGACCGATATATTTCAGGTAATCATTTCCCGACAAAATATGTCGTTCCTCCTACGTCTCTATATATTGTGTTGTTTCTTTTGTATTGTCAGTGGATCACATTTGAAAGTTGATGATGACGAAAGAAATGTTAATGATATCATTCAAAATCTTGCCAAAAAACTCGAGGAACACGAACAGAGAATTCGATTCCTAGAGACCAACGATAAAATCCAGCAACAGGAAATAATTGAACTCAAATCTGCGATTCATAGAAAAGATTCGTATATGCGTAAACTAATGACGACGATTTCGAGACGAACAAATGGTTTTCAAACGTCTGAAGCGGTTGTGTTTAACAAAGAACCAGGAAGAATTGTCAATGATGATGTTACTGTTCATACGTCCGAAAATAAATTGGTAGGAGCAGAGGCTCAGAGAACTAAGGAATTTCGGGACAATTAAATCTTCCCAAGAGACTTATTAATAGCCACAATACTGGTATGTAATTTTCATAGTAGATTAATCTAAAAAAAAAAAAAAAAAGAAGAAATCACACTAGTATTTTTTTCATCTGTAGATGATGGTACCTTACAAAGACATCTTAAACATTTGAAATTCATTATGTTACAGTTGGCGCTGTTGCATTCTATGCCTACATGAGCCACAACGAGATAACAAGCAGTCCTCATCACATTCTCGTCTTTGATCACGTGGTAACAAACTCTGGAGGGTCATATAATCCTCATCTTGGAGCCTTCACAGCACCAGAACACGGTGTCTATGTCTTCAGCTGGACAGTGGTGTGCGATCATGGAAGTTATGCAAATACAGAAATTCTAAGAAATTCCGATAGCATTGGCCAAATTCTTACCAATAGCGTAAATAACATAGATTACCAGATTGCCACTGGACTGATTGCAACAGAACTGAATGCTAATGATGTTGTGCACATACAGACACACGTGACAGAAGGAGCTAAAGGGACAATTCTTAGTGCAGATTATATGCGAACTTCCTTCACCGGGTGGAAATTATAATTAAATACAGTTTTTATTTTGAAACCTAATTAGAAAATTATTTTTAGAGAGTTTGAAAATCAAAATTGGATGCCAATAATAATTCTTGCAAAATACACACACACACACACACACACACAGAGAGAGAGAGAGAGAGAGAGAGAGAGAGAGCTAAATGACATCTATACAAATTTTTTTTACTAAGAATCTGCTTTTTTATCAAAGGTTTTTCACGCAATGAGACCTTATGAACTAGTTAAATGAAAAGAAGAATCTGCTACAAATGATAAGAGTGTCTTCAAATCAATTCTCGATCAGTGATTGCAAGTCAGCAATACTTTAGGCACTGTATACAGGAAAATTTTTGCCCCGTTAAATTTTCACCCCTTAAGCCTTTGTCGGAAGTGGGTGAATTTAAAACGGAGCGAATTCAAAGTAAACAGTATTATATCTTAAACAAAACTGTTTCTTGGCGAGTTTAAAACATGGCAAAATTGATTGCAAATATGAAAGGGCGAAAAGTTGAAAAATAAAGAAGGAATACATTCTTCACTTTGTATGAAGATCTGTTTTAACAGGACATTATATTTTCATCGTTGAAAATAAATTTAACCCTTAAGTGCTAAACCTTAATTAATGGTAATGAAATAATTAGAAACATTTGAAATATAAACATGTTACACTTTATTGATTAACATGACATTCATTATAAACTATGAAGTATTGAAATGTATAAGAGTGGTTTTTATGTGATAATGCAAAATAGCATTGCAATTGAGCTGCCCAGTAGGATGAACGTGTAAATTTCAAAAGCTATGAACATCTACAAAGATCCACTTAAACAAAAAAAGCTTTCAAGTATATTTTTGTTACGTATGGTACTAAGCAGGAAAGGTTATATCGGCTTGTTCACTTATGTAAAATTTGTTTTGCTTAGATATTTACACAGTTTTATAATTTTTGTTTAGAATAAATTCTTAACAAACATGAATTAATCAGATTTTCGATAATTTTTTTTTGAAATATTTCAAGGATCAATGTACGTTTAAACTGAAATGAGAGCCAAGTTGCATTTTCCATATTTCTGTCAGAATTACTTAACGTTGGATGAAATATTTTAAAACATGCTATATTTATTATACTCCCCGCTTAAAAAGCGAGGGAGGGTGGGGGTAGGGGGGTATACAGTGATGGCGGTGTCCGTCCATACATCCTTCCGCCGTCCTTACGTTTGCAGAATTTGGGGGATCCATCTTTTATCCACAAATCTTCCTCTACCACTGAATAAAATGTAATGAGACTTTTATAGAATTTTTATCACAAGGTGCCATTGTACACCTCTTATTCTACACCTCTATTTCTCACAGCAAACAATGGACCTTGCCTTTATACTCGTATGAAAGAGGGGATATCATTTTGTGACCACATTGCACACAGTACCTATAGGTTTTTCTTTCTATCCCTCTTGATATTTTGTTATGTGGAGCAATATAATCTCAACTGCTATATTGAAAAAAAATCGCACAAAAATGTTAAACGTAAGTAACAATTGTGAAAAAGGGTAAAAATACTTCAGTATAAAAGTTTGAAACACAAATCAAATATAGCTTGTTTGCCTTCCGTAAGTGTTTGTGTCGGCTACAAATATAATCACTTTGGAAACATTCCCGAGAGCATCAATTAAGGCTTTTTACAATAAGTAATTCATTAAGTCTGTTACTTCCACCGTATATAATCTGTACGTTGAATATAGTAAACATGTCAAACAAAATCCATTTATCTATTTGTAATCAAACTACAGTGAAGCTTCGTTATACCGGACAGCAATAATCCGGACACTTCATCTTCCTGATGAAATTTATGAGGAGTAGAATTTACTTTTATATCGGTAAATTATAAGAGGAGGCTTTCAGTAATCCAAACGCTTTATCAATCGGGTGATTTGCTAACACAAGCTGGACTGTACTTGAATTTTTGTTTCTGGAGAAATGTAAACTTGATAACTTGATAAGAAGTCCTTGGCACCGAGATATCTCTATGCTAGTACCTGACTAAAGATTACTTGCACCTAAACTGAAAATGGCACTGGCAGTGTATATGTTCAAATTTGTTACCATAATGTTTCTCTTGAAAGTATCTTATGCTGAAGAGTTGGATAAAGATGGGCAGGAACGTATGTTGCATTCCTTAGTGGAAAGACTTGCAATTCTAGAAGAAAACGATAGGAAACAAGAATACCAAATCCTTCAGTTAGAAACTGCTATTGAACAGAAATCGAATAGGATCTCTGAGCTTGAACTTGTCGTGAAAGAGCAGGATATGGAAATTAAGACATTAAAAGAATATTGTTTTGAAAGTTCGAGACTTAATGCTAAAAACATGAGTGACGTAAAAAGTCCTTGAAGGAAGCCCTGTCTTGAGGAAAGGGAGAAAAGGATTCATCCTCAACCAAATGGTAGGTAAAGTTTACAATGAAATACTACAAATAAGAAAAATATAGAATTCTGTAGATAATAACTAATAAGCATTTTTGAGAAAAATGACCCCCACAGATTAAATGAAATTCGGTATTTATAATGCAATTCCAAACAAATTCTATTCAACATAGTCTTTTTAACAATTTTGTATATAATTTATGGTCTTACGACATGTTTCTTAAATATCTGCTTCGTTTCTCTTCGTAATAGATTAAAAAAAGGTATTCATAATATTTATATTATCTTGTGATTTCTAAACTGCTTTCAAAATGTCTTAGAAAAATAAATACAACAAAAATTGTGATACTGGCAATTCAAATAATTTCAAATAAGGTAATATAGGAAATATTTACCTCTGGCATCTTGCATAAATGACTGGTATGGTACCTCAATTCCCTGTAAGGAAACTTGTTAAAGTAGGAATACCTCAATGTAAAAATTATATATCATTGAGGAATGTGTCCGTCTGACCTTATGTGGCGGGGAGGGGGGGGGGGTTAGAGGATTTCCAGTTTTCATTGATTTCTTAATTTTTTTTTTTTAATTTTATTTAAATAGGAGATTTCATAGCCTTTTACGCTTACATGAGCAAAAATGAAGCAAGTCCTAGTACACATCACGTGATAATGTTCGATGTCGTCGTAACAAACGAAGGCAACGGGTACAATTCGAATCTTGGAGCTTTCACTGCACCAACACCAGGCACCTATGTTTTCAATTGGAGTATAATCAGTTCAGAGAACGCATATATCTTTACTGAAATAATCGTGAACTCTCTATCCGTTGGTCACATCCTATGTGACAGTGGTAGTCATGACGACATGACTTCTTCTACCGGAACTGTTGTGAAAGTATTAAATGCTGGTGACAATGTTTACGTGCGAACTCCTTCGTATGCTTCCAGCGGCAATATTGTAAGCTACGAATGGGCCAGGTCTTCTTTCAGCGGATGGAAAATATATTGAAAATAAAAAGATCTTTTCTCTTGTTGTGCTTTTACTCATGTAGTATTAGCTTTTTATCCTGGCATATCTGATTTCAAATCAACCATATGCATGTATTATAAGTCTCCCCATAATGTCAGGTTATTGGAAACAAGCTAGTTCGGGGAATTTATGTCCCCCTCTTCATCCCTACTAATTTTATTGTAATTTAAATTCAAGATACGTGTTGTATGTTAACCCATAGGGTAGAACCAGTTTTATAAATAAAATTAGATGTGTTTCCAGACCTTTCTGAGATATTTTCATGATATTAAACAGAAAAGAGTGGGTAGGTTAAAAATCAAAATCTACTTAATCTTCGCTTTTGTGATAACATACGGCGAAAATTGGAGCTTGGTAGTGATAATTATTCCAAAATCGTCCGATACGCTGGTAGAGAATTAATAGAAACGTTTAGTAGACAAGTACGTGTTTGTATTTTTCTTCGAACACGTGGTTCAGGTCAATCAGTTGACTGCAAAAACTAATTCGAAAAAAAAGTTTTATGAAAAAAAAATACAAAGATAAGAAACTATATAATATCTTTGTTTGTTTGTTTGTAATTTTTTTTTACTTTGTTTTAAATAAAAAATGTATATAATAAAACGTCGGCTGTGCCACGTTAAGAACATAGCGCTTCAAGGAAAAGAAAAATGAGCGGCATCTCTTAGGTATTTAAATGAACATTTTTTTTTTTACATTACAATACCCGTGATCGCATGTGTTTTTGGCCAGGGAACCCATCTGATAATTGTATTCACCGTTAGTACAACAAAGGAATACAGATCAAATCGCCTTACAACATGGCTTTGAGAAGCTTAGAATTCCACGTTTATTTAACATGTTTAACAATAGAATTGTTTGTAATTGTGAGCATGGAAATAAAAATGAACAGATTGCTTTTCATCTAAAAATGCATGGGAAAAATTTCTTTGTGCCTTTACGATCGCCTGTCTATTTTTTTTTCCAAGTGTAAAATTCCTGTAGTATCTGTAGTAACCCACAATGCAATTCGACTCATTCAGCTGAATTGTCAGTTTAAACCATGTTGGTACCTCATTTGCTAGTCTGACGCCAAAAATATAGTTCCAGTTCCCATGCAAGTATGTTTGTCCAAAAAAAAATGCAGAATATAAAGACATAAAGAATTCTAAATGAAGTTGAATGAATGGAAGAGAGATTGAAGTACATTTCTATAGATATTGTACAGTAGTGAAAACTGACACGCAACATAACTTTTCTGTTTACAATGTCTCCAAATGCTAGTCTCTTCCTAGCCACATTTCCATGAATAATTTACCTTATCTCGCTGTAGTCTCGCTTAATCTCCCCAGAGCTACTGCCAGAGCTACTGCGAACTCCTCCGATTTTATAATTTGCAGAACACCAAAAAATAAAAGGTTTCGAACACATTAGTAGGGGTACGTTTAATGAAAAAAGATGATGGTGGAAGGATTAAAAAATGCAGACGAGAGGTTAATCTTGACCTTTCACTTTTGGACTTAAAGTCTTTTATTAAGTTAACGAAGTTTCTAAAGACTATGTCTACAATGTATGATTT